GCACATACCTGTTCTTTTATACACAAGCCACGCCCACACTTCCCCCTTTAAGGTTCTCACATACTCATGGTGGTCTCAACAATGTCCGCAGATAGGGCGCACCGCACCATAGGGCGCACCCCACATTTTGAGGGGAAAAAAAGACGTTTAGGTGCGCCTTATAGTCGTGAAAATACGGTATGTGTTATGCTACAGTTATTTTTTTTCCTTTTAACTTACCAAACATACAGCATTTAGCTTCCTTCGGTTTTTGATTTGAAATTACCCGTACCAGATACAGTGAAGACATGAAAATGAACAGCGTTTGAGAGGGCTGGAATTTGGCAACATGATGCAAAATAATCTATAGAAAACTAAAAACTCTCGACCCTCTTTCGAGAATTCTTATGGTGACACGAGGAGAAGATTGAACTGAATTTCCCTTTGGAATTAATAAAATATTATTGGGTTAAAGTAAATTTAGCTAATTTGGCCACAATGACAACAATTTGCAGGAATGAAGAGGAGGCTTTTTAAAACATTACAAACCAACTGTGAAGCCTAACTGCAATAATAAGACTGAGGGGCCATTTAGCTGCCAGTAGTTCTTGTGCACCAAAGAAATTAGTAATTGGATAAACATGACAAAGACAAACATCTCCAAATAAAATTGTATAAAAATATTAATGGAATAGATTCAACTTTAATGCCAGTAAAATCCAATGGACTATGAAAAGAAGTCAGTTCTGACTGCTCAAGAACAAGGATCCAAATACTGTCATATATTTGTTTTTAAATCAGTATAAATTAGGTGAAGCTGCCTTTTGTCCACTTTTTAACCTCAATGAATGAGTGGTTAAATGTTTAATTACAATTGTCAACTTTATATCTGATTGTTGGTATTTGGGTATTTTTTACTTGCTTCGAGTTTCACAAGTATAGACCACAGCTTCGCCCTGACCACTAAGATGGTTTGGAAACAAAACCTCTTATCAGCTTTTGCATCCTTCCAGATGATTATTAGAATCTCACTTCATATCTGTTTAGTAATGCTTGTCACCTTTCACAATTTTGTAACACTGGAAAAGTATTCTCGCAAGAAATTATCTAACTAAGCAACTGTGAACTAAATAAGTTTCTGCCTGGTCTTTAGTATCCATTCCAATCTCTGTATTAAGCCTACATCAATATTTTACCTTGAAATTCTGAAGCAGGACCAAGTGAACATTTCTAAAATTATATAGGTCTTGCCCTGTTGGTTGATTTTGGTTTGCCCATAACCTAATCTCCTAGTGTCGGATAAATTAAAGACAGCACGTGGATTAAAAGCATGATGGGCCCACACAGGCAGAGGAAATGGCTTCCCAAATTAATCTTCTGAAGCTTCAAAGCCAGTCCACCACACAAGAAGTACTTCAGATTCTAGGAAATTACTTTCTAATTAATTCATTAAATTATATTATTTATCTAGATAAAGGCATTTTGACACCCAATCAGTAGAAGGCTCAGTTTAGGTTCCAAGTTATTAAAACCATAGCCAATGCTCTTCTTTCCACCCTCTGATCAAGCTGTTGGCAAAATATAAATATAGCCAAAAAAAAAAACTGCAAAACAGAACTATTTCAGTAAGTTCATTGGCTTACTTTCATTAAGTTCATTGGCTTATTAATAACAATTTAGACTAAAAATATCCATAATTACATAAGTGTACATGAATAAGCGGCAGCATATTAGTGAGATTAAACAATTGCCAAATAACTGAATTGAAGCGCTGCTTCAATTCAGTTATTTGGCTTACTGTTGATGACACCACACCCCAAAATCCTCCCTTAAAGGAAAATTCCGGTTTTTAACACTTTTTGCCCCTTTTCTGTAGTGTCCAGGATGAAATCGAATGATCAACACCAAAATTTTGACGATTGGTCCTGTCTCGGCTATTTGGCTCACCCCCCCTGGCTGCTTCAGAATGGCTTGCATAGTGCATGTCAGATAATGTCCTTAAAACAACCTTAAACGTTCTTTTTTTTAAATATGCTATTCGCCGGGTCGTCAGCGCTGTTCAATGACGTTCCAAAAAAAGTTTCGT